AACAACAAGAGGAGGAAGAGATGGGTGAACGCTGAGCCCGATAGGCAAGAACAGGAACACACACACACACACACATAAGCAAGCAGCCCCGGGGGGGGGGGGGCATAACAATGGCCCCTCTCAACTTTTCTCTGCTGGATGGGAACAGAAGAGGGATGCAGCACTCCTGAGTATTGCCATGGCACGTGAAGGTCTGGGCAGGTCTGCCCCATGGAGGGATGGGATTAACAGATTTCTTTCACCTGCTGCTCTCTGGGAAAGGACAGAGATGCTTTAGCATCCCACCAAGCCCAGGGCTCCTTACACACACACACACACACACACACACGTTGTGTTCAAAGAAAAGGATGGCTTCCAGGTGACCCTCCGAGGGCCAGAACTGGGCTTGGATGCCCCCTCAGGGAAGACGGGGCAAACGGTACATGGGGGTCGCCTTGGGAGTAGCAGGAAGAGCTGCAGCCAGGCCGGCGGCCAGAGAAGAGGCAGCTGAAGCCCGAGAAAGGAGCTGGGCGTGGCAAAAGTTCCAGAAGGGACCCCGTCTCCTTTCCTAGGCTCCAAAGAGATGAACTGGGAGAGACGGATCTTCAGACTGAGAAGATTCCCTTAAGGTGACAATAAAGCAGACCGAATCCACCGGGGGGGCTGCTTCTTGCCTGGGCTTCTTCTAGGCAGCTGCCTCCTCCTTTCCCAGGGCAGCACCAGGAGAAGGGAGGCTCCCTTGCGAGAGGATTGTCCAACCCACAGCTGCCTCCTCCTCCTCCTCCTCCTCGTGTGGGCTCTCCACAAGGACAGCAGAGGTTTGGCCTGATGCGGGCAGGACCGGCTCTTCTGCCCTCTTCTGCCTTCAAGGGAGCCCAGCAGTCACCTCTACCTGTCCTGGGTCTCTCAGCACAGAGCACTTCCTGCTTCGGTTTCTCAAGAAGTACGAGGAGGGGCACATCAAGTGCCAGAGGTATTTGCACTGGTCCCGTCTTCTTTGGCAGCAACCCCAGCCTCCCCCCCACCCCAATTAACGAGCAAGTCTACTGTGGCACTTCTAGGTATCTCTCCCCCTCCCCCCAAATCTCTCAGCAAAGGATAATAACTCCTCCTTTGCCTCTGGAGGCCCCTTGGGTGCCTCCGTTGCACAAAGCTCCCTTTGAACTAAGACTCCACCTGGAGATAGACCGCCTGCACTAACACACACA